GCATTTTAAGCTAGAGAAAGAAACAGGGTCTTGAGGTTACTGGGACTGTGGAACAAGAAAATGACCTAAACAAAGGTTTTCTTAGCCAGCAGAAGGCCACCTGTGGTCATCTATGTGGCAAGGTATCAGACACCCAGTCCCTTCTTGCTATGAAAAGACTTTCCCATATGGAAAGGCCTCAGAGACAGTATCTTTATATAGCCATCTGGGCAGGTGCTGATGTCCCCCTTCAGAGGCAGAGCACTTCAGTGCCATCTTCTCCTGCAGTCTCTTTAAATAGCCTTGGAACAAATATATTTTTGGGTGGTCCACATTGATCTCTCTCATATGATTAATACAACCTACTGCACTTGGTAGTTACGTTAGTGCATTAAAATTTTTTATTTTGTTTTACTTTATGGCAATTTCCCTCCTTTTTTTGATTCTAAGTCCTCTGTGGTTTTGTGTCAAATGCTCCCTCAGTCCCTTGTCACTTTGTCACTTTCTATAAACTGGTAGATCTTACAGGGACTCCACTCAGTAGGTTCCTGGATTGATTTGCTTTTTACCAACACCCTTCTAAGCATGACCACAACTCGGTTCGCTTCTTTATTCCAGCAGGGGGTGCCAGCTGCATTTACATTTTGTCTCCCTGCAGGTTGAGATTGATGGTGGAGTCAGGTGTTACTAGCCTGATCTTGCCCACACTTGGCCCCCATCCACTTTGAACCTAATGATCCTGTAGCAGCTTGTAAGCATCACCAAGATTTCATATTTTGGTTGCGTTTGTGAGATAGCTTTTATTTCCATTATTTTTGCATTTATTAGCTTAGTTTTTAAATTGAAGAGCTTTCACTCCTTTCTTTTTTGCAGGTCAGAGAGGCATACAGGTATCATAAATGCTCCCCTCTGGGCCTTTTGCAATGACTCCATGCCCAGAATATCCATATTTACAGAGATGATTCTAAAGTCTAAATCACTAAAATCAACTAAAAACATGTTTTTTGATCCCTTAAGATAATTGACAAAACCCAGGACCTTTGATGCTAAGAATAAAACAAAGCGATGCACACAGCATCCATGAGTATTTGTTGGAAACCGTGTCTGCCAGTATAGTGGGAGCCTGGTGGGAAAGGGCAGGGAAGAGCAAGGAAGGGCCCAGGCTCTGTGTGATGCTGGATGAACAGAGATCATGTACTGACCTGTGTATATGTAAATCAGGTTCCAGGCGACAGGTCTAAGATAACTGTTCTGGCCAGTTTCTCCTGAGTACATATGATCCTCATCTGTCCAGAAGGCCTTGAGGTGTGGACTTGTACATGTGGTACTCAGTACTTGAGGACTTTGCCCTCAGTCCCTGTGCAAAGGGGTCTGGCCATGTACCTCTTGTTGGCACCATGAGGTGATGGTCACATCCAGCATTCCTGTGGCATCTCTGTTCTTCTCAGCATGCTATTCATGCCATTTCCATATGACTCCTTGTAGCGACTGTCACCAAAGATGTCACCCCTGCCAGTCCTCTCGGAGATGTTTCATTTCTGTGGAGGCATCCTGTGCTGAGGGACGCCCAGGAGTGGACAGCGGTCATGGCTAATGGCTCTCCTTTCTCAGACTGTCAGTGGTGACTGCAGACATCTCTCAAGGCCTTGCAACACAGGACCTGGGGCAGCTTTGGGCAGCAGTGGGAGATAGCTCTCTGTTGAGCTTTGGGACTGTCTGTCCATGGACAGGTCTGGGGACCCCTCACCACTCAGGTGTGTGATGCTGACTTCCTGTTTAGCCTGACACTTGTTAACTTACAGTGTTTGAGAAAATTGCAGGAACCTAACTGGGTGGTAAGAAATTCAAGGATAAAATTTACAAACTGTGGGTGTGTTTTCAAAGTGGAGTTCAAGGAGCTTTAGAACTCTCTGAAGGCATCTTAGGGTCTGTGAAGTCCTTTCTCCTTTGGCAGTGTACCAGTGTGAGGCAGGGTCATCTCCTTCATGGACATTCATGGCAACAGTGCAGTGTGAAGTGAACATGGATCAAAACATGTGGCTGTCTTCTCTGAAAGTAGGCATCAGAGAGACACGCAGAAGTGGTCAGCAGAGTCATGATTCCCACTTGTGTTTTGTAGGGGAGCTCTCATAGTTTTCATGTTATTTTATATTTAAATGCATTCATTTAAAAAGGTCTCAGTGTGGGTTCTTATGGGTAAATGTCCACAACCGCCACCCACAAAGGTTCTTTGTGACAGCTTCAATTATTTCCAGATGTAAAGGGGCCAGGAAATAGATCCATTTTAGATGTGTGGCGTTTTATGAATTTTTCAAATACTAATTTTTTATTCTTTGAAAGTTTACTACATTTTTACAATCATACAAATGTATGTATTGATCATATCCATCCACCACTACCTCCCCCCAACTACTTCAGTGCCCCTTCAACCCATCTCCCTCCCAATTTCATATTCTCATTTTCAGTTGTAGTTTAAAAGCCCCTGAGTCCAATTAGTGCTGCACATATGTGTTGGGCCACCCACTGGGGCATGAGTAACCTACTAGCAACCAGGTCCCCAAAGGAGAGTGACTCTCCCTCCTTCAATAGCCATCAACTGCCAGTAGCTCCTCTGATAGGGGTGGGGTAGGGTGGCACATGGGGGGCCCCTCCCTCATCCATGCTGGACTTTTGATTGGCCTGATCTTGTGTGGGTCTTATGCATAGCTGCTGTGAACTGATGGGTGAACAGCCACACCATGTCCAGAAGTCAGCATTTCATAGCTCTCTCTCACATCTGGCTGATCTTATATTCTTTCTACTCCTTTTTCTGTTAAGTTCCCAGAGCCTTGGAGGTGGGGTTGATGCAGATGGCCTATCCACAGCTAAGCACTCATTTGTAATCCACACTTTGACTAGTTAGTGGTCTATGCATTAATTACTACCCACTTAAAACCTACTGTAAAAAGAAACTTCTCTGACCAGAGCTGAGAGCAGCACAAAATTATGGGTATAAACATAAATATTTAGCATGCAGTTTGACAACATGACCATTTAGCAAAACAACAGCGTTCCCCTTACCCCCATGCCCTGGGGCCTATGATCCCCCTAGTCATGGGCTTTTGACTAGGTTTTCAATATCAGGCATGAAATTTCTCCTGTGGAGCAGGCCTCAAACCTAACCATAGAGTGGTTGGTTATCTACATAATCAGCGTGCCACTATTGCATCACTGGGCACACTTGCCAGCAGGTCAGTATTTTAGCATGCAGCATCCAGCCCATGAATGCCTTCCCTCCCCCAGCAACCTACCTTCTGGCACTATGTAAGCTAACTGGCAGGGGGAGAGTTTCCTGGTCAGTTCAAGGTTGATTTCTCCATGTCTTGTATCCAAAGTAAGTGGTGTCTTCAGCAGTAGGGTCTTACGGTCTAATATTTTTGTTGTTGTTGCTGTTTTTGAGACAGTGTCTCACTATGTAGTCCCGGCTGATTCAAAGCTCATTATGTAGACCAGGCTGGCCTCAATCTCACAGAGAACCTCCTGCTTCTGCCTCCTGAGTTCTGGGATTAAGGTATATACCATCATCCTTGGCTATTAAGGTCTAATTATTGTGGGTAACCAAGAGCAATGGCAATAGCCTGTATTATTTTGGATTCCTCTGGGACCCTCATAGTGAGGTATCCTGTGTATGACACTGAGATTTTCATTTTATAACATGTCTTCTGGGAGCAGTATTTTCTACCTATTCAGGGTACTTCTGTTCAAATGATTTTTAAAATAATGTATTATACTTTTAGGTTTTAGTTTACACACTATTGGATTTCCATAAAGCTCTTCATCTATCTTTAATTTTGTCTAACCCACCCCCCTACCCTCTCCTCTCTCCAGTCTCCCTATCCCCACTTAAATATTTAACCTTGGGTATTTTCTACCTCTGTTCTATTATCCCCTCTACTTGAATTACATTTGATTTATTTGTTTTGTATGTGTATGAGGGAGTGCCATGAGGTACACATGCAGACAGAGGACAACTTGCAGGAGTTGGTTCTCTCCTTCCACCACATGGGTCCCAGGGATCGAATTCAGGCCATCAGACTTGGTGGCAAGTGTTTTTATTTGCGAAGCTATCTCTGACCTTACAACTGGAGTTTTAGTGTTTTCCTTGAAATAAAAACAACAGTCACAATGATAGTGCTAGCCGACATGGACCTGCTAGCATGTGCCAGGTGGATAGTGAGCCACTGACTCTTGATTCTTACTGGAATTCACCCAGCTTTCCTGGGAGGTCTCCTGCATTCCCAAAGGGCTGCACATCTCCCCTGCATGGGTGGTCAAGGGGACACTATGTGAATGATTCCCCTAAGAGGTGCTTGAGCTCCTTCAACCTGAAAATCTAAACAGTGAAATGCTTCAAAAGCTGAGGCTTTGAGCATCATATGGAGTTTAGGAAGTTGAAACATCTGGATTTCAGAGTTTTGGAGACGGTCTGTACAGCCAGCAAAGTCTATGCAAGTATTTTTAAAACAAAGAATTTAAAGCGCTTCTGGCATCAGGTGGTTCAAAAAGGGACACTCAACTTGTATTCTTCTTTATTTCTTAGTATAAAGAAATGAATAGACATTGGGTGACAGTCAATTTCTTCTGGAAGTGTGTGCTCCAGGGTGGGGAAATATAGAGCTGTAAAAGATACCTGGATCAATATGGTCTGAACATCCTCAGAGATTGCATGCCTTCCAGAAGGGCTGGGCCATGGTTAAGGGGTGGCACTGTGTGAATTCAGTGAATGGGGACAGATTTCCAACAGAGGTGGTCTTACACCTGGACCTTGAAGGTCCAGGTAGGGTTGGCCAAATGGAAAGGGTGGAAGAGATGGATGTCCCACATAGAAAGAAACTATGGGTAACGGTATTGGGGGCAGTGATGGGAGCATCCTTTTGAGCTTGGTCATGGCCACTGGAGGTGACTCTGTTGCCCTGAGGTCATTCAGGACCATGGTAGGTGACTGAGCTGGTCCATGATCTTATACTTTGCTTCCCCCAAAGGAGAACCACTGTCGCCGCATCAAGATCCTTGGAGACTGCTACTACTGCGTATCTGGCCTCACCCAGCCCAAGGCCGACCATGCTCACTGCTGCGTGGAGATGGGCCTTGACATGATTGATACCATCACGTAAGTGCCTCATTGTTACAAGGTCTGTCTAGGGCTATAGAGGCTGAGGCAGTGGCAGGAGGGTGCTGGGTCAGAGTGATGCACCCAAGTTGGGAAGTGATGCTTCGGTGACCCCTTCCTTACAGTTGGTGATGTATTTCCTTGCCCACAGATATCCTGTATATTATCAGGTATGTCTGAGATCTGCAAAAAGAACCTTTACAGCTGAGCTGGATGAGGCATTGAGAAGGACTGAGGGCCCAAGTTCCTTTTAGATGCTAGTGAATATGTTCTTCCCAGTCAGTGACTGGCTTTGGTGTTCTGTGAGAAGAGAGGGTAGAGGCCTGGGCAGGTGAGACCTTGTGGAGTGATAGGACACCTGTGAGACCTGAACTACCTTTCCTTGGTCAGCCTTGGCCATCCTTATCAGAGATGGGATGGAGTCCAAGGGACTCTTGTTAGAGAAGGCGTGGAGCTGGCATCTGATTGATGGATGAAGGTCAATTCAGATTCAGACATCTCAAAGCATGGAGAGTCAGGTAGTTTTCGTGAGATGAGTTCACAGGGATTGGTGTGAAATTTCATCCTCCAAGTGGAGGGTAATGACATGTCACGTGGGGAAGATGTGAAGCGGCTGCTGGGTGAAAGAATGCGCACACAGAACATCCCCACAGCCAAGGTTGTGGAGCCAGTGTAAGGAAGGAGCCCCAGGACAGTAAGCAAGGCTGGCCCTGCAGGAATTGGCTTCCAGTGGTTGCTCCTGCCAAGAGCCCATGGCAGCTGGTCTGGACTCTGCTCTAGGACTGAGAATGGAAAAGTACCCCTGGTGCCCCTGAGAACCGCCAAATGCAAGAGCCACTGCACTGGAGAAAAGCAGAAGGCTGGAGAAAGTGTTCTGCTGAAAATGGATAAGGGAAGGAGACGGGGAGGAATGGAGGAGGAGGAGGAGGAGGAGGAGGAAGGGGAAGGGAAGGGGGAGGGGAGGGATTCCTGGCTCAAAGAAGACTCAGAAAGCAATGCCTCTCTACTGTTCTCTGGAAAAATGTATGTCACATGACACATCAAATCACTATTGCATATCATATAACACATGACAGCATACATCATATCTTACACCATGTTACCTATGTATGTCCTGTCACATCCTCACAGCCCTCATCTATGTCTTGTATGGCATCATATACCATCCAATTATTATATCTTACACTATGTCACATTTTATGCCAGACATCATTTTGTAGTTTACTATGCCATATATGACGTCAGGTATCATATATATCACATGCTAGCATATTCTGTGACATCATGGTGTTATTGAATCCACTTATAAGCAAGGGTCCAGTGGCAAGTTGTTGGGGCAAGGAAAAGATGTCTTCTGTAAAACCAGAAAAACCAAGAAGAGGGTAGCCTAGCATCCTGAAAGACCATCTTCAAACATTTTTTTAGCACTTTCTATCTTCAGGCAAGGGTTTAGATTAAGAAACAACTAATGAATTAAAGTATGTTATATATCTATGTATGAAAATGTAATGAAACACATTATAATACATTTATATGCAGGAATAATGAAAGGAAGAACGAAGAAACAATTGATGAGAACTGGTGGCTGGTGATCTGTGGATTTGATATATACTCACAGAAGTAAATCTACCTGGTGCTGCTAGTTTGAGCCTGTGTGGTTAATGAGGCTGTGTGCTCAGTGGGGATATCCCTGTAAATCTAGAAGATTGGTTCAGTGCATCAGGAAGCCTGTGCTACCCTTTGAAGCACAGCATGACTGTAGTACAGCATTACCTCATACCATGTATCATGTGTAGACAGGTCATATAGCTTACCAGGTCTTGTTTTGTGTGATCTCCTTGTGGAAAAATGAGTCTATGTTTAGACAGAAGCTAGTTTGTTCATTTGTCATGCTACAAAGATCCAGGTAAAATTAGGTGGGTGCTCCAGCTGACCTGGGCCTTGTGCTCTGTAGGAGGGAGACCTGCCCCCTGTGTTCTTTGTCAGCTTCTGTCTCTACTTGGACCCTCTGTGATAAGGAGCTTTATTTCATACACGGGGCTCCAACCTTCTTTTCCTTCCATGTTCTGATTTGTGGGATTGGCATGTGTGTGGATTCTAAGCTATTTCTACTGAGTGCTTTTTCTGGTTGCTACCCAGGAAGCATCACCTCTCCTGTTGGGATTTGTATCCAGCTCTGAGCTGCTACCCTGCCACCGCTACTGTGCCTATCTTGTTCTGCTTCCTGGTCCCCTCACTTTCCTCCTCTATTTTAGCTGAAGTTCTCTAACTCTACATCTCTGGCCCTGCCATGTGAGATAAGTGAGCCCCAAGGCTGGTCAGCATCTCCCTAAGCCTTTTGGACTACTTTCTACTTTTTCTTAAAGTCCTACAGCCTCAGTATCCACAAACTTAGAATCCTTGTGTGACCTGAATTCCTGGCTCTTGACTGGAAGGACCAAGTGGCTAAGCTCATCAAAGAGTTCCTGACAGGCCCGTTTTCCTTTTAGGACTGCACAGAGTCCGGGATGGCCAGTGTGTGGTGAGCATGGCTTCCCTGAATCTCCCAGGAAGGCCCCTCAGGTAGCCTTCCCTGCTGGCCATACCATCCTCATGTATGCCTGTTCACACACAGAAACACACATAATAGAACATCTTTATCAAAAGGTCAGTCATGTGCTTTGACCTTGGAGTGGAGCATCTGGGAACTTTGGAAACACAGGGATTCTTGGAGAAGGACAAGGGAGAATGAGTCAAGTGCTGGTGCTCAAGTGTCTGCAGAGTTCCACACGAGGCCTCGCTGGCTGCGCCCCAGTGTGGGAGCAATGCCTGTGCCCTTAGCTGCATCTTCCTTCTTTTTAGATCCACTTTTGTTCCAGGAATCCCTTCCAGTATCTGGAGGAACTGGATAGGCTTCGGCAAGCTGGATTTTGCTGGTTGTGAACTAACTTCCTCTTTCAAAAGGCAATGGGCAGTGTACTCTAGTGACCAGGAAAAAGCTGAGCCTATGGGCAAGAACTGCCATTTTCAGGACCACAGGTCTTCTGTAGGTTTGAGAATTCTGAGTAGACAGAGGACATCCTGAGGCACAAAGGCCAGCCTAGTTATTGGAAGACTTTGGAACTATCTCCTGCACATTTGGGTGTATGGTGCAGTGATGGAGGGTGGCAGAGAATGCCATCATTCATGTCAGAGCCAGAACAGTCCTCCTGCATGTGTAGAGGCAGACAGAATACAGAGAGACTGCTCCCACTTTCTTCCCAGGCTGAAGGGGTCAAGATCCTTTTCTTGTCAACAACGTTCTGGTTATTTTACTTTCTAGATTGTTCATTCCTCTGGTGAAACTGGACAGAAACATTTATTTTCCTTTTATAACCTTTAAACTCAGGCCACCCATGCCTATTTTCTTGTCATTGATCACTTTCGAATAGGTTGAGGGTTATTTGAGCAAGGCCTGAAATCACAGGCAGCTCTGGAGTGAATCCACATTGAGACCCCTGAAGCCCGCAGAGCTTTTGTGTTTGTCAGTTTCCCATCACTGTGACAAAACACCTGAGAAAATCCACTTAAAGGAAGAAACAATTACTTTTGTTCATGGTTTCAGTCATAGTCAGTTGGCTGCGTTGCATTTGGTTCTGTGGTGAGGTAGAACATCATGGCAGGGAGTACATGATGGAGCAGGTTGCTTACCTCGTGGCAGTTGGGAAGGAAGCAGAGAGGAGGTGCAGGGTCCCAATAACCCCCTTCAAGGGCATGCCTGCAGCACCCCCACTTCTACCAGGCCCTCACCTTCTAAAGGGGGTACCCATCCCAATAGTGTCACAAGCTGGTGACCAAACCCTCAGCACATGGTCTGGAGGACATGTCAGATCCAGCCATAATAGTGGGGCGTCTCTTTGGGGAAGACAAGATGCAGAATGCTTAGTTAGAAGTGGGGGGCTTTGTTATTGTCTTCCTTGGCCACGTGTAACTCAGATAGGCTGACTCTGAGGGAGCTGAGGCATTGGAAACTAGAAAAATGGGCCTGGGTCAGCCCTAGCCCAGTGGGGCCCTAGAGTTGGGAGCTGTAGCTGAACCCGAGGCCTCTGGACCCTGCCCTGGGCTTTCCCAGCCGGCTTCCATTGCCAGACCAGACTTGCTCCTCAGACCCATGGGCCTCATTCAGGCATTCGTTATCTACTTAGAAAAACCTACACATTAATTTTTATTGGTGTGATTTTCGGTAATTACTTTGAGTGGTATACGTTTACTATTTGGGCCAAGTGGCTTTGGTCTGTAGGAGAAACAGTTGAGTTTGGTTCCTGGGCTGGTCTTCTCTCTGAAGAATTGTGCAACCTTGTACACATCTTCTGTCTTGGGGACTCAGTATTTCCCATCTGTAAATTGGGAGGGTCAACTTCATGACCAAGGGTGCACTGGCAGATGAGGGTGTCCAGACCATCTTACTAGCTGCTATGCAAAGTCAGCAGGGTAGGCTTCTCCTGCAGCTTGAGGTTGGTGCCACACTGGCCTTGTTTTGATGGACTTCTCAAGGACTTCAGTGGGTTCTGAAGGGTTCAGGCCTCAGAATAATCACTCCTGGCTCTGAATGGCTCCTGGGGTGGAGCGCACAGGGAGCTTTTCTCTCGCTGATGAAGCAGATGGGGTCCATGCAGTCTGTGTTCCCTTCCTTTCCTGCTTGCACCCCTCCCCTTCCACAGCTGACCCAAACCTCCAGTTTTTCTGAGTTGGCCCAGGACTGTGTCCTGAGGAAACAGAGGAGCTTGTGGATTCCTGGCTTCCAGCCTGAAGTGATGCTTCATTTTCCTCGAATACTTCATCTGTTTGACTGTGAATGGAGAAATGGTGCTTGTGTCTCTGAGTAATTGTGAGGACTGAGAGTCTCTCAGATGAAGTGGCTGCGTAGGAGGCTTTCGGCAGCTTCTGCTGGGGGGAATGAGTCACTAGCTTCCAGACAGAGGGAGCCATCCCAAGAAGAAGGAGTCCCTCTGGTGCAGGATTCCCTCTGCAGCCTCTGATCCTGCCCACGTGTAGGAATGGGGACATGACTGTCCACTTCAGGGGGTTGCCCCTGCTGGCACAAGTGAGATGTGACCAGGGACCTCATCAATATTCCACACACCCTCCAAATGCTACATAGACTTAATCTAGAGTTGGCCTTGCTCTTGAGCTGCATGTCTTTTGTTTGCTGCACTGAATTAACTCAGCAGGAAGTGCAGGTGTTTTCCCTCTAGGACCCTCCTCTGAGCTGGGGAGGACAGCCTGTGCGCCAAGTCACTGGCGGATCCCCATGATCCCTGAGCTGACGTCCTTATGTTTGGGCACTTGCTTTTTAAGCTGGCCGTGTGTGAGCCACGGAGCATGCCTCAGTTCTTAGGGGTTTCTTTGTCTCATTAGTGGATTAGTGGTTATGTTTGAGGAGGCATTTTCTGTGGGCTGGAGGATGCTGCATGTACTCACATCTCCACTCACCATAAAGAATCTTTCTTCATGTTTAGGAGGCCTGGAGATTACGAGCCTGTAGATTCCAGCTAACAATTGCATTTGCTATGGAAGCTGAGGTCCAGGAGGGGAAGTGAGGAGCTGCAGTGGAGGCCTCAAGTTTGAACATAGTGGGTTGAAAGAGTTTGCTCCATTTCTTATACCATGCCGGAGTTGGGGCTGCAGGCTGCTGTAGACAGCTGTGTTGCCACTACTTCTTAGAAATTCTGCCTAGGTGATTGCAAATCACCCTTTCGAGTGCCCATTGTTCCTTTTTTCTTTCTTTCTGTTGTGTACACAGCTGTAACCGCAATGCTTGGAAGAATGGCCGGGTGAGTGAGCTCAATAGGTGTTTGTTAAAACAGATGAACAGAACATAGATCCATCCTTTCATCTTGAGACACAGTGTAGTTGTGACTGGGTTTCAGATCTACCAGGGTTTATTTACACCAAAGATTTTGGAAGGCCCCATGCCTTGGGATGGGCTGCTGCCTCCCTGGGGTCCAGCGCTAAAGGTCAGGGTCAGGGCTGCAGAGAGGGCTCAAGAATCTAGCTTTTTTTTACCCCCTCATAGAAAATACTTGAGATAAAAAGTTACTGAGCCAGGCGTGGTGGTGCACGCCTGTAGTCCCAGCACTTGGGAGGCAGAGGCAGGTGGATTTCTGTGAGTTCAAGGCCAGCCTGGTCTACATAGTTCCAGGACAGCGGGGGGTACAGGGAGACCCTGCTTCAAAAAAAAAAAAAAAAAAAAAAAAAGTTACTCTGAGAGCATGAATAAGAAAGAAATAAAGGGCGAATAAAGCAGAACGGCTGTAGCCATTCTGGTGCCTGAGAACTGAAGTCAGAAGTTTTGTTGGATTTGGGCAAAGCCAGCCTGGATGCCTCAAGAATAAGGGTGCCAGAACAGCTGGATCTGGCATTTCTTCAGGAGTGACTCTCCAGTTTTCTGTAGATTGGATGGTGCCAGCACTGACATATTGGAGGCAGAACTTGCCAGGCAAGACTGACAGAGTGTTGACAAAGGAGCTGGTGCCAGCCATGTGGGACCTTGTGACCTTGGGTGGAGGCTGGCCACAGCCCAGCCCATAGGGACTGTAACGGACTGGTGTGGAAAGCCTAAGGAACTTGGGAAGAGGGGTGAGCACAAGTCCCAGCGTCTCCAAGCTGTCTAGCCTTTCATAGCTGAAGAAACAGAAAAGTTAAACGTGCACCAGAACATTATGGACCGGTGACATCATCTCCATTTCCTCATGTGGATTTTGAAATACAATTTTTCTTTTGGTCTTTTAGAGACAGGGTCTCCCTGTAGCCCCAGCTGGCCTGGAACTCACTATGTAGACCAGGCTGGTCTCGAACTCATAGAGATCCTCCTGCCTCTGCCTCCCAAGTGCTGGGATTACAGGTGTGTGCCACCACACCTGGCTTGGAGCTGCAGTCTTAAGGATTTGACTGTAAGGACACGAGTGCCTCGAGCTCGAGTTTTTGGTCTTTTAGAGACAGGGTCTCCCTGTAGCCCCAGCTGGCCTGGAACTCACTATGTAGACCAGGCTGGTCTCGAACTCATAGAGATCCTCCTGCCTCTGCCTCCCAAGTGCTGGGATTACAGGTGTGTGCCACCACACCTGGCCCTTGAAATACAATTTTTTAAATTTAGATTTGTTCAGTGACTGTTACTGAAAATTGACAAACGACTGGGAACAGAGTTCAAAAAATTTTAAAACTTCATTCAAAATATATAAAACAAAATAGATCTTAAAAATCTAGCAATAGTTTAACTTCTATACATTCTTCTGAGGTTACTGAAACTGAACTTTCATTAGGACTTTAGAGGCCCTGACTTGAAGTGCATCTGACTCTAGCATCTTGCGGGCCAGAGCACAGAGGCTGGCAGCCAGCTGTTCTGTTGAGAAGACAACTCGGGAGAGCCCCTGGTGAGGTCTGACGAAGGCCAGAGGGTGTGTGGATGTGCCAGACAGGTGTTCCAGGTGGGGCCAATCAGGGAGAAGGTGAGGCAGACATAGGGTGGAGTTGGCCCACACATCCCACATGATTGCTAACAAATATGACCTTCAGACTCCTCTTGGTGTGACTGCAGGGCAGAGCATGGAGCAGGCTGAGGGTACAGTGAGGCCTGCACCCATTTGTCACATCATCACACACCTAACAGTGACAAGGGGTGGACTGCTCTTTCCAGAGTCCTTATTGGAGCATTCCTTAGTGTTTTCTATAAATGGAATAGAAAGAGTTGACAGCAAGTGGTCCATTCTCTTGCATCGGATATATTGGCATAGAGCTGAAGTCATTCTGGTGATTGTCAGAACTAATGTTGGCAGAGCCAGGCTCACATGCCAAGACAAGAGGCTCACTCACCAGCAGTGTGTGTCCAAAGTTGATCAGGATGGCTGGGTTCCCCTGCACCTGTTCTGCCTTTGTCCAGACATCTCTTCCAACATCCTTTCCCTGGGAGACAAGCTTTTGCGGGATTTGACTTCCTGGGCGCATTTCCCTTTGGGAACTCCCCTGGATGGAGAAGGCAGGAGAAGCCTATGATGGCAGCTCACAGACCCCCTTGTACAGTGAGGTGGCTGACCAGCCCTGCCTGAGGAGAACTTTCAGCTCACAGGTGTCCAGAGGTGTGCTGCTGGCCTCTCATCTGACCCCTACATTCCTGTCTCATCTCAACTCCACAGTCTGCTCTGCTACTCCCTTGGCCACATGGTGCTAGCCCATTAAGGTAGGTGCTAGGCAGCTCCATGCTCTATATTTGTATTACAGATCTGTGGCTGAGGCTACCGAGGTAGACCTGAACATGCGTGTGGGTCTGCACACCGGCAGGGTCCTCTGCGGAGTCCTGGGCCTGCGCAAGTGGCAGTACGATGTGTGGTCCAATGACGTGACTCTGGCCAACGTCATGGAAGCTGCTGGACTGCCAGGGTAAGTCAGAGTCTTGGAGAGTGGCTAAGTATCCTTGCTAGAGTTCTCATTACAGGCCTTGCTCCTGAAGGTACTTGGGAGGCTGCTAATTTGACCCTCAGCATCAGGACCTCAGAGGAGCCTGTACCAGCCCAGGCTACTCTGCCCTCTGTGGAACTCCGCTGAGGCCTAGTCCACATCTGCAAAAGCTAGTGTTGAATCAGACCAGATGTGCATGGGGACTTTGTTCTGGTGCCTGGGCTATGCTCTGCTATGTTTCACTTTATCAAATGTGGACAATTCTGTGACTTTAGAGCCTTGCCTCTTGATCCTGTTTCTTTCTTACTCCTTCCTGTCTGGCCCACCTACCCCCATCACTGTCATCTGGAGAGTTTGTACATGAACTCAAGGCTTTCTCCTACAGAGAAGTCAGAAACTTGTGCAAGGGGGGAGCCAAACTGGCAGAGGTGATTTGGAACGCTGGGGAGTTCCAGAGAAGCAGAGGCTGGTGGAGTGTCTGTGCCACATGCCGTTTCCTACTGCCTCTCTGCCCATCATGTTGGCCTGACCCACGGCTGTGCACTGGGTAGGCTGTGAAGCTCTGGGAAGTGACTCCCATGCCCCTGCTTCAGTTTCTTTCTTCAGTTACTTTTTCTGTTCTCGTCTCCTGTATTGAACCCTTCTGATGTTTTTTCCTCTCCTTTGGCCTTTCCCTGTCCTTTCATTCTCCTTGGCCTTAGCCAACCCTACTTTGCCTTCCATGGTGTGGGCCCTGTAACTTGGCTTGCCTCTGTCTGCCCTGGACCTTTCTCAACTTCCTTCCCTGCTCGCCTGTGCTTTGGAAACATAAGGGACTCTCAGGGATCTCGCCCTGGGTGGGACAGCCTCTGTTGTGGTCGCAGTGAGTCCCTCACCCAGGACTCTGAGCAGCCGTGTTTGAGCTTTCACGCACAGCTTTGCCTCCTTCTCTCATAGGAAGGTTCACATCACAAAGACGACACTTGCATGTTTGAATGGTGACTACGAGGTCGAGCCAGGTCACGGACATGAGAGAAACAGCTTCCTGAAAACTCACAACATCGAGACCTTCTTTATTGTGCCATCCCATCGGAGGAAGGTGGGCAACCAGTCCCCCCTCATTTAGTCATTAAATGACTTGGCCTGGTCAAGCTTTAAAGAGACAATTGCTCTTACATCCTGCTCCCATCACTGCTTCTCTGGCTGTGGCCCCAGTGATACTGGGTGCAGAGCTGTACCTCATAGATTGAAGGGGGACTAGCTGGAGAGAGGAGTTCATCAGTTGAGTCAGAAATCTGGGAATGACTGGGCCACTCTGGGTCCTTTCTGCTTCCTATAGGCCTTTACTGACTCCTTTATATGGTGACCATTGAGCTGCCTGTAGGAGGATGGGGTGAGGAGCTCTGTGAACTTATGGGTGCTGTGCAACAGGGAGCTGTGACCAACTTATGAGGGACACTCCAGGCCACCGTGACAGGAGAAAGTTGATGTGGTTAGACTGAGGGTGACAAAGCTGCTTCCAGGGCTCAGGTAAGGGTTCAGACTAATTGGATGGTGTGGACTGAGATAAAGGTACAGGCTCAGATGATGGGAGGGCTCAGGTGAGGGGAGGGCTCAGGTGAGAGGAGGGCTTAGATGAGGGGAGGGCTAAGATGAAGGTGAGGGTTTAAGTGAGGGTGTGGGTTCAGGAGAGGGTAATGGTTCAGATGAGGCATGGACTCAGGTTAGGGTGTGTGCTCAGGTGATGGTTCAGGTAAGGATACAGGCTCTGTGATAGTTTAGGTGAGGGTGATGATTCAGGTGAGGCATGGACTCAGGTTAGGGTGTGTGCTCAGGTGATGGTTCACGTGAGGGTGCAGGCTCTGTGATAGTTTAGGTGAGGGTGATGGTTCATGTGAGGATATGAGCTGAGATGAAGTTTGGGCTCAGGTTAGGGTGTGGGCTCAGGTGATGGTTCAAGTGGGGGTGTAGACTCAGATGTGCATGCTAGCTCAGGTGAGGGTAGGGCTCAGAGGATCATTCAGGTGAAGATACAAGCTTATATGAGGGTGCAGGGTCAGGTGAGAGGGTTGGCTCAGATGCAGGTTTCATCTCATGTAATGGTTAAGGTGAGGGTATTGATTTTGGTGGGGGTATAGGCTTTAGTTAGGCTGTAGGCTCAGTTGCTCATGCAAGTTTCAGGTATGAAAGTAGAGCATGTGCTTATGTTTTATGTGGTGGTTATATGTGTTTATGTGTATTTGGTGCCTGTAGGTATTTATGTTGCTATGTGCATGTGTGTCAGTGTGGGGAAGTTAAATCAGGTCTCTTCCTGGATCATTCTCCACCTGTTTTCTTTTTTATTTGGGTACATATACTTTTTACTACTTTCTTCAATATTCATAATACATGTAACATATTTGGGTCAAATACACCCTCTATTCTCTCCCCTCCAATTTCCCCTTTATCCCCCCACCACTTTTCCTTGCCAACCTGTTCAAGACAGAACCTGCCCTTTCCTAGCTCTCAGTGCCTGCTGCTCTGGGGCCCCTTGTGTCCCTTAAGCTGACGTGGGTTGTAGAGTTCTTAGGCACCTCATCAGGACAAGGCACTGGAACATGGAGAGCATCTAGACTTACGGTTTTGCCTGCTGGAACATCATGCAATTAATCTTGTTCACCTGCCTGGATGGACCAGCACCCTCCTGAGCCTTGGAGATGCAGTGGTCAGCCTGAGAGGCTTTCATGGGTCGGAAGTGGTGATCAGCTCCATCTGCTTGGCAGGGGTGGCTGTGGCAGCAGTGAGGCAGGGATATGGGGTCATAGGGCAGGACTGGCTGTGGCGAGCCACCTCCCTATTGAAGGGGCTGAGCATTGGGGAACAAATCTCATGGGAGCTTGAGCTGGTCCCTGAGAGTAGCTGGGTTCACCTGGAGAAAGAGGGGGTGTATGAATAGGTCCCTCAGAAGAAAGCCCCGAACCAGCCGCCTGGAATGGTCAGGCAAGGGTGAGGGAATTTGAAGGACCAGGTGTTTAGAGAAGGCCCAGGAGGTCAGATGGGTGGCCTGTAGTTCTAAGAAACAAAAAGCCTAGGTACTTCATATGGATGTTGCCCGCCGCAGGTGGGTCACATTGCCACAACTTTGGGTTTCTGTGGTTTGAGAGTGAGTGCTGGTCAGGAGGTCAGAAGAGCACAGGTCTGTTTGGAGAACTTTGGGTTGGGAGAGGGGGAAAGAGAGAGTGATGAAGAGCTGGAGCATTCCATTGTTTACGTTACCACTACTTCATATGGATGTTGCCCGCCGCAGGTGGGTCACATTGCCACAACTTTGGGTTTCTGTGGTTTGAGAGTGAGTGCTGGTCAGGAGGTCAGAAGAGCACAGGTCTGTTTGGAGAACTTTGGGTTGGGAGAGGGGGAAAGAGAGTGATGAAGAGCTGGAGCATTCCATTGTTTACAAGTTACCACTCTACACCTACCTGTAGGAGCCAATGTGCCAAGGCAGGTGCAGCTGGAGATAAACTGAGGGTCTTTGTCCTCCATCCCAGAAAGGACATGAGGTCATAGCTACTGTGGGAGCCAGAACTCTGGGTGCAGATCAGAGCCCAGGACGCAGTCTATGAGGCCTGGGTCCCTCCGCCTCAGCAGGTGCTGGCCCCACAATCTAGTCTTTAGGCCTGTGTTCTCTCTTCTTGTCTGTAGAATGAAGCATGCTGGGACCAGAACAAGGCAATAGACTTTGAAAGTGACTTTTTACTCCATGCCCCAGTGGTCTTTCCCTGAACAGGGCCCTATTCCCAGTGCTCTCCCTAACGTTTGATGGAATGCATTACTTTGGGCTTTTGAAATCTTCAGTATGATTTGGGAATCGGATATTCTGGAGTCTGGTTTGGAGTTTTCTCTTCTGTGTTACTTGCAGATTCCTGGATGCCTGGCACACAAGAGGCACCCAGCAACCTGATCTCAGTGCCCTCAGCTCCTTATCATTATTAGGTTCGTGTTGTCAGCCGAAGAGCACAATGTGTTTCATTGACGATATTTCTCTCTGCTTTGGACAGATATTTCCAGGCTTGATTCTCTCAGATATAAAGCCAGCCAAGAGGATGAAGTTCAAGACTGTCTGCTACCTGCTGGTGCAGCTCATGCACTGCCGGAAGATGTTCAAGGCTGAGATCCCCTTCTCTAATGTGATGACCTGCGAGGATGATGACAAGGTAGGAGCAGTGAAGAGCACTGTGGGAGCCACAGGGTCTCTGCCCCACTGCTACCTTAATACGTTGTACAGCTTGGCTAGACGCATCCTCACTGTTTACACTCTTAAGATCTTGTAATGCTGCCTAGAGCTGAACTACATTTTCCTTCCTCCACAAGTCTTTATATTACCTTGTACTTTGTATTCTGTATTTATCCAAGTGTATGCTAACATTTCCCCTGTGTTATCCAAGAAGCTCAGGCTAGTCCCTCAGGTCTGATATTTTAGCCATTTAAGCTATGGCTGGATCACCCTCTGAGTCTGCCTCTTCCTACTCCCTTGGACTTCTTTGGCCCCATGGTGCACCTGTCCTTGACTTCTGGTCTCTCATATCACATGGATTCCTCTCTTGCCTCATTCTGTTCTTTTGGTGAATACTGAGTGCAGCAACTGCATGTGGAAAGGGTATAGCAGCTAACTGTGGGGTCCTTACAGGGTTCACCTGGCCTGCTAAGGCCTCGATTTCTAGGTTGGTTTATTAGTGAGCCCAGGCAGCTGCAACAAAAGAGCCAAACCTGGGAGGCTCAAGCCATAGACAACTCATTCTGCCACTGTGCTGGAGGCTAGAAATCCAAGATTAGGTGCCTGCAGGGCTGGTTTCTCCTTCCCTTACAGGTGCTGTTTTCTTGCTGTGTCCTTACATGGCAGAGACACAGTGCTCTGGTATCACCTCCTTGTGTTATAAGAGCATAATTCCAGGACCTCATCTAAAGGCAGTTACCATCTGAGACTCTGTTTCTTCGTGCTGTCTTGTGGGGCTAGAGATTCAGCTCATGGATTTAGGGGGATATAAGCATTCAGCTCGGCACAGTTGACCACCATCTTTCTTCCTGTCCCTGATTGCTTCATTGGGTCCTGGCTACCAGGGCTGCTGCTGAGACATGCAGTTCTTCCAGTTCCTGATCTTTGATGTGACACTTCTGTGTGCTCTTGCTCCCGGGAAGGCAGTGGAATCCTTTCCCCAGGCCCTGTGTGGCCCCTGCCATGGTCCTATCCCTCCCATTTGGGTCCCAAAGGACAGGACCCCATGTACCCAGAGCACCGTGCTCTGGAAAGGAATTACGTTTCCATTTCCTTTCCTCTATTTTTTTCCTTTCCGGAAACACCTGTTATGTAGATGTTGGAGTTCTTGAACCAGCCTAATTCTCCTCTGCCTCTTTCGTGCTTCCCTCCATTTTCTGGAAATTTTCTTCAGCTTTATCATCTAATACTTTTATTGAGCTTTAAATTTCTTCAACCACGTTTTAAAAATTCCACATACTCTTTGGAATATTTATTTTTATGAAATAATATTCCCATGTTAGGGGGATATTTTGTCCTCTTTGACTCACTGAGATGAGACTATTTATTTACACAGTGTTTCATGTTTCCCAGGATGGCCTTGAGACCTGCTGTGTAGCTGAGGGTGACCTTGAACTTGTGATTCCCCTGCCCCTAACTTCTAAGCCTTGGAATTACAGGTTTGCTCCACTGCAACCAGTTTTATTCCCTGCTGGAGATGAAACTCAGGGCTTCATGTGTGCTAGACAATCACTCTATCCATTGAGTTACAGTTCCAACTCTCAGTCCTCAATGAGATGATTTTTGACATCTTTTAACATTTATTTTGTGTGTACGTGTGTGTGCACGCACTTATGTATGTGTGTGTGTGCACATGTGTGTACCATGGCATACCTGGAAGTCAGAGGACATCTTGGGGCGGTCATCAGTTCTGTCCTTCTAGTATATGGGTTCTGGGGCTCGAACTCAGGTCCTTAGGCTTTACCCATTGAGCCATCTCCCTGGCCCATGGTTTTTGTTCATGTGTTTGTATATGTATATATGTTTGCATGTGTGTGGATACATGTGTGTTTGTGTGTGTGTGCTTGTGGGTGCATGTGTGTGGAGGCCCAAGATTGGTGTCAGGCATCTTCCCCAGTCACTCTCCACCTTACTCATTGAGGCAAGGTCTTCCAGTGGAACCCAGAGCTGACCTAGCTTGGCTGGACAGCTTACTCAGGGACTCAGTCCCCTGTCTCTGCTTTCTGAGCTCTGGAATTCCAGGTGGGCCATCATGCCCACCCAGCTCTGCATGGGTCCTGGGGTCTGACTCCAGCCATGTCTACCCAGCTGTACATGGATCTAACTTCAGCCATGTCCACCCAGCTGTGCATGGGTCCTGGGGTCTGACTCCAGTCCTCACATCTGCTGCTTAGCTGCTTGACAAGTGCTTTAACCCATGGGCCTTCTCAGCACTCTCACTTGGATTATTTTTTAATATATTTTGGTCCAAGAAATAGTTCTGTTTCCTGAGTAGCTAATTTTTTCCCTTCTAGTTTGTCTACATGCCTGTCCTCATTTATAATCCCATAGATATCCAGATTTTTCTGCTCTCACTTGATTCACGTGGAAATGCAGAGCTGGCTGCACCTGCTCATTTAGGGAAGGCACTTCATTTGGGCTTTCTTGTAGACATCAGGATTTCCTCCCTCCCTCCCTCCCTCCGTCCCTCCCTCCCTCCGTCCGTCCGTCCCTCCCTCCCTCCCTCCCTCCGTCCCTTCTTCTTTCCCTCTCTCCTTCCCTTCTTCTCTTTCTTTCTTCCTGACAAGGCCTTACTATGTAGCCCCTCCAGGATTTTCTGTTTTGGATGGATCAGGGTCAACTTGTGAGTCTTCAGAGTCTGGGTGTGTGTGGAGGGGGTGAACAGTCTCAGGCTTCACTTCTACCACACAGGCCTTGTGTCCAACCCTGGGCCAGAGACCCTGATTTCCCCCTAGGGAAGATCCCACCAATGCTCTCAGGCAGGGGCCATGCCATAGAGCTTGGAGTGCACTTCAGGGCTCTAACGCCACCTTGTGGTGGCTTCTGACCAAAGCAGCTGAAGCTACTAGTGCCTGAGCCTGAAGGTGCCTGGCTTAGTCTAGCCCCTTAGTCTGCACTGTGATTGTCTGATTTCTGTTTTCTAAATTCTATTGCTGTTTTCCCCACTATTGTTTGCTCTCTCATTATTGGTTTTATACATTTTCAAGGAATTTCCTGCTGCAGTTAGAGGCTTTTCAGGATGAAACAAAGTTCCGTGGCCTCTCGCTCATGGTGGTTCCTTGCCACGGGAATTGTACATGGGAGTTCCTCTTTGCTAGAACTTTATCTGAGAATATTCATGGTACTTTGTTCATGGTGGATCTCATCAGAGAAGATTAGTCTTTATGTGGTGGGAAACTAAATGCTGCTTTATAGTAAATGCTTGGTTCTGTGACAGAGAGGAGGAATCTAGTCCCAGTTAGGTATATACACATACACACACAGCAAAAATTCCTCAGTCGCCACTCTGCCCCAGAGATGCGTGATCACCTAAGCAATCTTCAGCAAGAATCCTGGTCAGTTTAACTAGAATGCTTTGGACCCCTGATGTCTCCTCTGAGTAATCATCTGGCCACGGAGCCCACATTGTTCCTTGCCTGTACATTCCTAGTAGCTGTGCTGTATTCAGAGTGTACCACCTGCCAGGTCTTGTAATAAAGCCTGCCCCACTTTTTTCTCATGAGTGTCACTGAGGTGATTTTCTTTTAAAAGCAACCCCTGCCCAGCCTCTGGACCGACCTCGTGCACAATCTCTACCGTCAGGCTTTGCTGCTTCTGCTTTTGCTCCAGGAGCTGTTGTCAGTCCCTCGGGGATGAACCCTGACAATCAAAGCCCAGCCTCCAAACACATTCACACCTCCATATTTGGTCTTTGGTTGCTTTTCTCATTATGAAAGTATTTGTTGTAGAACGTACCCCCAAATACAACAATGCACAAGAAAAGCAAGTTAAAAGCATTTGTCTGTCATCCACCGCTCCATTCAAGACCTGACATTTTGATCCTTCCAGTGTAAGTGTGGAGGGTTTTATTATTCAAGGAACTTGATTGTGTTTGTATAAGCAATTTGGTTATTTTGTTTTTTTTCCTTCACATGACCAAATATATCATAAAGATTTCCATATAAGGAAATATTAACTGTTTCTCAGTTTGAGTTTTCAGTCATTGTATAGGTTTCTAACTTAAGGAGAAACTGTTTTGTGATATTGATATTTGGGGTATTGCTGTTTGTATTAAATGAAACAGATTGTGCTTGATATTTTTGCTCATGAAAGTGCATTTCCATCTCTGGGTATTCTGTAAAATGAGTCTGGTGAGCCGGGCATGGTGGTGCACACTTTTAACCCCAGTACTCGGGAGGCAGAGGCAGGCAGATCTCTGTGAGTTCAAGGCCAGCCTGGTCTACATAGAGAGTTCCAGGACAGCTAAGGCTACAGAGAGACCCTGTCTCAAATAGACAAAAAAAAAAAAAAAAAAAAAAAGACAAATGAGTCTGATGAATCTAGCTCTAGCTCTGTCCAAATGGGAGTCACCGATTAGAGGCTGTGATTCCATCAGCAGCAGTGACTGTCAAGTGAGGGGCAGAGCCAGCATGGGGACCCTCCTTCATTCTTTTTTGCTCGCTGAAGAACATTCATTTCCCTGTTGTACAGCCAGAAGTCTCCTTATTTCTCTCTCTCTCTCTCTCTCTCTCTCTCCTCCTTATTTCTCTCTCTCACTCTCTCTCTCTCTCTCTCTCTCTCTCTCTCCCTCTCTCTCTCTCGTATTGTATGACTTTAAGTTTATTGATTTGAAAAATATAAAAGCCTTGTACATGACATAAAAATCAAGTGCTCTGAATTGTTTATCATTTTATGTTTCCCTCTGCAAAGCAGCACGTGTATGCAGCAGGTGTTAGGCGTGAATTGGAGATGAGCATGTGTTTGTTTGTTTCCCACTTCTGAAACAAACGAGGCTTTGGAAGTCCACACAGATCCTGGCCTTTTCTCTGTGGCTGAATGGCCTTGGGGTAGCCGCAGGCCTGATTTCATGAGTGGCTTGTTGGTCAGTAGGGACTTCTTTTCTAGGTGTCGCCATGTTCATGGGTGCTTGGCATATCTGTTTTCATGGACATCTTAGTGAACAGTACATGGATAGCCTGAGGTGGTGGTGAGATCACTGGGCTAAAGGAATGACTGTTTTAATTTCAGACAGCTGTTGTCAGCTTGTCCTCTTCCAAGTGGTTCCTTGCTCTGCCTACGGTGTGTGTAAGCCCTGGCTTCCCCAACCTCACCAGCATTGAGCCTAGTGTGGTTTGGGACATCACCAATGTGCTGAGCACTGTGTCTTTTCTTGTTTCCACCCAGCACCTTGTCTTGCCGGGACTTTTTTGTTTAAAAATGGTGAGGGATGATTATTTTAGGGATAATTTCCATCATGGCTATCTGAATTTACTGAAGATAAAGTTTAGTTTGTCTTCACTAATTGGAACAGATTGCCGTAACTTTAAAATTATCTTAGATTTTCTTGATCAACAATATGTCATAAATAGTAATAATTGTGCTGCTTTTTTTCCATCTAATGACTCAATTAAATGATAGCAATAAGTGTGGGCATTCTTTTTCATTCTGACTCTTATTAAAATACATAGGATTTTATCATTAATTCTGATGCATTGAGCTAGACTAGGAAGTGGTTCACCGTAGTTAATGTTTGCATTCTTGTTTTTGAATGAAAACTAGGTGTTGCATTTTAGGAACTACTTCTGACGGATTAGGGTGATCTACCTGCCTGGTGGCCTTTGCTCTAGTATGCCTGGATACTTCAGTGTTTTCTGATCTCATATGGTACAACGGTGTGCCATCTTATTATGCCAGGTTGGTGTAGAAGACCAAGCCGGGCATGATGGAAAGTTGGGGCTTCTGGAGGCGTAGATTTTGGCACTATCCTTTGGCTATAGTAGTGTGGTTATTTATAAAAATTTTCTGCTTTAATGGTTTCCTCTTCTTGTTCCTTTGGCTAAGATACAATAGGCTTTTTGGGGCCCTTGTGAGTTTTATCTGCACCTATTGGCATTTCCAGGCCTTGGGCTTCTGTAGCTCCTGGCCTGGAATAGGTAAGGCCAAAGAAATCCCAAAGGGACCCCTTGCCACACAATTTTTCTTCTAAGTTCTGAAAACAGCCCCCATTCTTTCCAGCTTTCATAGCGTTGTGTTTATTTTATGAATGTTGTCTCTGCATTTACCATTTGGTTGGAATACAAAGGAGATGTCTGTTTATTCCATTTTTTCTGAAATTATGTGGTAGCATCTTGTTAATATTCTTGTTTTCTGCTAAAAATGAGCATCAGTGTTCCTGCTTAGAAAGCCTTGGTGATGAGATCCCAACAGCTGCCTCCTTCACATAAGCTCCTGCCTTCTTGTATCCCTCGTGTGACATATGGAAGATGTGAAAGAAACTCACTCAGGTCCTTTCAGCCCTAGCCACCAGTCACTTCCCACCATTCCTCCCTCTAGGAAGATGGCAAAGGCCATCTGCCCTTATAACAAACTCCTAAGCACCCTTTCCTGCATGTGTGGGCTAGTAAGTTCAGGTGGCATCCAGACATATTTATCACTGAATTCCACAACCATCTCCACACTGTGCACTGCTGTCGCATAGCTATCCTGTAACTTGCAACAGTTAGGGAGCTGATCTGGAATGCTGGCTCTGAGCCACCTTCCTTCCCTTCTCAGGCCACGGGCGGTGGGGGGGCAGAGCTGTGATTGTGTCTCAGGGCCTTAAATCAGCCCAGTCTACAGCAGATAAGGATCACAGACTAGGGGGTGCATGTGAATACTTTTCTTCAAAAATGGTATTTCCTTATTTCCATGACTGCAGCGGAGAGCATTGAGAACAGCCTCAGAAAAACTCAGAAACCGCTCGTCTTTTTCTACAAACGTGGTCTACACCACTCCAGGCACACGTGTCAACAGGTATATCAGCCGCCTTCTTGAAGCCCGCCAGCCAGAGCTGGAGATGGCTGATCTGAACTTCTTTACCCTGAAGTACAAACATGTTGAACGGGAGCAAAAAGTAAGTGACTCTGGTCTTCATGAACCATGAGCTGTGTTGGTATCTTTGATGAAGGCTCTGTGTGTCTTCTGGATGCTGGCAGCTCTGATGGGTTGATCCTCCCTCCCTCCCTCTCTCTCTCTCTCTCTCTCTCTCTCTCTCCCTCCCTCCCTCCCTCCCTCCCGCTCCTTCTTCTTCCTCCCTCACAGTACCACCAGCTTCAGGATGAGTACTTCACCAGTGCTGTCGTCCTCGCCCTCATCCTGGCTGCCTTATTTGGGCTTGTCTACCTTCTGATAATCCCACAGTAAGTGCTCTTTCTGTGCTAAACAATGACATGGAAAGTGACCAAGCATTCTAGGTGTCTGGGTGTACCAGTTACTTTACTTACTTCTATGACCTGACAACAAGCAATTTAAGGGAGGAAGGGTCTATTCTGGCTCACAGTTTGAGTGCATGGCCCATCGTGGTGGGGAAGGTGTGGCATCAGGATTGACTCTCAGCTTTGGCAGCAGGAGCATGAAGCTGTGTGTTCACATCAGGGTGGCTTTGGAAATGTGCTCGGCAGGGAACAGGGCACTGGAGGCTGACCACCTGTGACCCACGTCCTCCAGTGAGGCTCTGTGTCCTAACATTTTTTTCACAATCTGCCCAGACAGCGTCACTGTCAGGGGGCCAAGTGCTTAGACACATTTCACAGTGAAGCCACAACATTGGGGTTGATGCCCTGGTGTCCTTTCTATGTTCAGGATTCCCTTCCCAATTACTCCTCTGTTGTGCCTGGTATTTGAGGAGGTCATTGGCCACCTGCCACTTCTCTTTGCACTCAAGTCAGTAGTTTGGCAAACCTTGTTGGCATACAACATGGGACTGGTCACTGTTTTTAGTTTTTAATCTACTGAAATGTAGGAAATTGGATGTTTTGGGCTTCTCCATCCACATGACATACACTACTGCTTTCAGAAAGGCTTCTGAGGGGAACAAACTGCCCCAATGGACTTGCTGATTTCTAGGCCCATGTCACTTTCAAAAACAATAAAATGAGAAAAAGTAGACACTGAAAAGGAATACCGGTAAAGGACACGGGAGTCATGGAGGTGTGAAGCTAATTTCTAGTTTCAACTCTGACATGGCTTTTTCTTGTGTGTGTGATGATAGGTGAACATAAACATAACTGATAACGAATACATAAAATCCTGAGGGAAGCTCAGATGGTTGTCCTAACTGTGTAGAAGGGCGTGGTGGTGCACACCTTTGATCCCAGCACTCAGGGGGCAGAGGCAGGTGGATCTCTGAGATCAAGGACAGCCTTCTCTACATAGTGAGTTCCAGGCTAGCTGGGACTACAGGAAGACCTTGTCTCAAAAAACAAACAAGAAATAAAACACAAAACAACAACAAAAACCTAACTGTCTAGAAGTTCATTGAGATGTATAGAGTTTGGGACTGGGCAAGTATTTGAGCAACTATGTTAATCTAGCTGCATGATGTTTTGATTTGTGAGTTCATTATAATAAAGAGATTTTTATACTAAAAAGGGGGGAAATATAGCAATTTAAATGGCATTTACCCATCATATGAGTCAGTGTGAGCTTGGAGTTTTTGTTTTGGGACAAGGAAGACACCAGAAGTCTCCATTTGTTACTTTTCTTCCACACATTGTTTCCTAAGAAGACCCACCTTGAGGGAATCATGTCTCCTTTGAGTTTCCAGAAAGCACACAGAAGTTATATACCCACTGAGGACAGGGAACCTTATCTGTGAGTTACATGGTTGTAAACCTGACAGTCCCCCCAAGGGCCTTGTCTTGGGGTATAGGGGGTAGGGTCAGCCTTTTCTAGAAACATCCTTTCAAGATAAATTACATCTCGGTGAGGTTGGGCAGCTTCCTCCATGAGAAGGAAAGGGCTTCCAGAAAGTCACAGGACCTGAAGCCAAGGCTAAATCTTGTGGGTGGGGATAGCACAAATGGAGGGTGGTCTCAGGAACCTCACCCGGAGCCCAAGGGGCCTTCTGTAGGAGAGAACTACAGAAGGTAAGCCCCACAGACGAGTGGGTGGCAGACAGGTAGTTTATGATACTTCCTCCTACAGCTCTGGGGGGTGTTGGTGATAAGGAGAGGCTGGTTCTCAGGTACCTTATCCAGCCTCCATGACCTGTGTCCTTTGTCCCCAGGAGTGTGGCTGTCCTGCTCCTGCTGGTGTTCTCTATCTGCTTTCTGGTGGCCTGTGTCCTGTACCTGCACATCACACGGGTCCAGGTATGTTGTGCCTTCTACAGGTGTCCAGGCATGTGAGCCTGTGTCCAAGGCCCCTTACCCGAATAGTTTGTCTACTCTCATGGCAGGAGAGGTGGGATGGTGGAAGCAGTTTTGTCCCTCATTCTCTGTGGCAGGCAGAAGTATCTGTCTTTGTGGTAGGTGCTGGTTAGGTCCAGGGCATTGGGCATCATGCACTATTTGGGAGCTGCTTGCTGGGCATGACTGGTGGGCAGTGGATATTGATGAAATAAAGGTACTGACTGTACACTTAGATGAAGAACCTGAGGTGGCTGGATTCTTGTGTATTCCTGTTGATGACCTTGGGTACTCATGATCCAGGTAGGCCATCTGTGTGATCCTGCCCCTGAGGCTTATCTGCTGTTTGGACTATTGGAGCCTCCTACTGCCCATCTCCAGCACATCCCTGCTAGTCACTCCTGCTAGACTCAGACTTACTTCTGCATAATTGTTGAAAACAGCAACCTCTTAAGAAGATTCAGTCTAGTTTTATTCCTTGAACTTCATTATTATTCACAGATACCATCTTGATGTTTTTCTAACTTAAAAGATACTCTGTATTAAAAGCATGTTTGTAACTTGTTGGCTTCTGTGGGTTGAGTGGCATTTGGTTTGAAATTTCCAGCTTAAAATAAGATTGCTTTTGCCATAGAATATCTAGTCAAAGCCTGACAAAGGGATGATACTTTTTAAAGTCTGTCATTTTTTCTGCTGTGGTGGGAGCCAGTGTGCCGACTTGATGGTGAGCAAATAGCACAGCACATGGAAAAGGTGTGGAAGTGCGTCAGGACAAAGAAGAGTCCAGAGCATAGCTGAGGAACTCAGCAGCCCTAGAAGCCCACCCAGCATCTCAACATGGGAGCTTGATTCTCCCAAGTAGATTTACACCACTCTCCTCCTGACCCAGCCCTTACCCATAAAACTAATATTGAACCCAAACACCCCCTGGTTCCATAAAACACATATCCAGTGGGATCAGACACTGATAGTCTGCCTGGAACCAACCCCCCTTTGTTGATAAGGTTGGCAACTTGGGAGAACCCAAATAATTCCTTGGTGATAACAGTAGAGTCAGCTGTTGTCTCCACTTCCAGTCCCCCAGAGAGCAGCATGGAGTGTTTCCTAAATGTGTGGTTTTGAAGCACCAGGCTCCTAAAGCTGTGGGGTTCTGGGAAATGGTGTCAGTGGCATTCATGCTGACAGGTAGGAAGAAGAGATGAACCTCAGGTAGAACAGGAAGAAGAGATGAGCTCAGGTAGAACAGAGGCAGGTGGGACCCAGCTCTCAGCAAGGGTACACAGGTCAGGGTGAATGAACTTATGTCTGCCAGCCTGTTTGGCTTTGCAGGCCAAGGAGAGAGCAGGGACACACTTTTTCTGGCCTGTTCCTTGGAATTTTTTTTCTATGTGCTCCTACTGCCCAGTTCCTTTCCAAAAGAAAGGAAACCAACTCGAGGACACTACTGCATCACCAGGATTTACGGCATTCGCTATCGCCAAGGTGGACTCACCCTAGAGTAGCCACTGGTCAATGAATGGCTTATCAGAATTCTTAGTTTCCTGTTGCTCTATGACAAACAGCCAGACACAGTGGCATAACATGCATCTGTTTGTGAGCTCCCAGCTCCGGAGAGTGGAAGTCCAGGTGTCACTCTTGATGCTTAAGTTCAAGTACCATGGCTTCTCAGGAGGCTCAGGGAAGGACTGACTTCTGGGTCCATTCTGGCTGGCATAATCCAGTTCTACGCAGTTGTGGGACTCAGGTTCTATCCTTACCGGCTGATGCTGAGAGTTGTACTCAGTCTTAAAGGCCCTTGGGCAGACTTTAACCTGGCCTCTTCTGTCTCCAAACCCACAGTCATAGAGCAGATCTTCCTAGCCATAGAGCAAACCTGACATTCTCTTCTGCCGCTGTCCAGAGAAAGTTCTGCTTTTATTATTTTTTTCACTTAAAATTTTATTTTTAATTAACATAATAAATATATTTATGGGATATAATATGTATATACATTGTGGAATGGTCACATTAAGCAAGTGAACATATTCATTGCATCACACATGGTATTTCTTTGTAGTAAGAGCATTTAAAGTTAACTCCTACTGGGTTTGCAGTATGCAGTATATTGCCATTGACCTTGGATTCACAGTGTGCTGTATGCCTCAAAACCTTGTTCCTCCTGTCTAACTGAAATTTTGCATCATTTCCATATTAGCTCCTCACCTGATCTGACAGTCACCACGACGCTCCATCTCTATGAATTTGCCTCTTAGGTTCCACACACACATGAGATCATCCAGTCTATTTCTGTATTTGATTCACTTCCCTTAACGCACCTTCCTCCAGGTTTATCCATGTTAGGCACAAATTGCAGGATTTTCTTATTTTATGAGGCAGAGTAGCACCTCATCGTGTACACCACAATTTTATTTCCATCCATCACTCAGTGCTACATCTTAGGCTCACTCCATCTTGGCTGTTGTGGGTAGTGCTGCAATAAGCATGGAAGCACAAGTGCCTCCTTGTCATTTTGGATCTTTTTTGGTTGTTGTTGTTTTTTGGTTTTTCTTTTGAGACAGGGTCTCCCTGTAGCCCCAGCTGGCCTGGAACTTGTTATATAGATCAGGCTGGCCTTGATCTCACAAATGTCCACCTGCCTCTGCCTCCTGAGTGGTGGGATTAAAGGCATGTGCCACCATGCCCAGCATCATGTTTAATTGTTTGTTTTTGAGGCAGGATCTCCTGTATCCCAGGGTGATCTCAAACTCATTGTGTAGCAGAGGAACTTTTGTTCCTTTTTGATCCTTCTTGCCCCACTCCGTGCTAGGATTACAGGTGTGCACCCCCACACCTTGTTTTATGCAGTGCTGGGGATGAAACCCAGGGCTTTTTGTACATTAGTCAAGCATCCTATTAAATGAGTTACACCTTCAACATCCTCTTCATCACAATGATTTATTTTCTTTTGTATATACTCCCAGTGGTGTGATTACTGGAGCACATAATATTCTGTTTTTAATTTTTGGAGACACTTCCATTCTGCTTTCCTTAGTGCTTGTGCTAATGTGCCCTCCCAACAGAGGAGCATCCTCACATGTGGTCTTCCATCGCTTTGAAAGCTGTCACTTCATTCAGAGGGCGGTGACATCTCACTTTAGTTTCAATTTGCATTTCTCTGATGCTTAGTAATGTTGAACAGCTTTTCATGTGTCAGACTTGTGTCTGTATTCATTTGAGAAATATATATTAAGTCCTTTGCCCATTTTAAAATTGGGTTGTTTTCTTGCTATTAATTTGTCTATAGTCCATATATATTTTGAATATTTATCCCCTCATCAGCTATATGTTTCACAAATAATGTCTCTAGATCTGTGAGTTCTTTGCTAATTATCATAGATGCAAAGTTCTATGACATTGCCCTAGCAGTGCTTCTTTGGATGTAACTTCAAAAGCATAGCACAAAAAAAGGAAAAATGGGCAAATGGGGTTGCCTCAAACTAAAGAGCTTTGGGACAGCAAATAAAACCCCCTGCTTCTAAAGACCTCGCGTGATCAGATTAGATGCACTAGTTACTCCTGTCTGAATGGCGTGTTACAAACACAGAATCCCTTTTTAAGGTAATGTCATGTGATTCAAGGCACAGGCACTGACTGTAGTTACTGGCCCAGAAACTAGAGTGAGGAACCTTGGGGACCATTTAGAACTATTGCCTGTCCCAGATAATGCTAAATAAATCCTGATTTTATTAGATGTTTTCTTTCTTTATTTGTAACCTAAAGTTACAAATGAGTTTTCAGTATTTTAACAGACATTTCTAAGGGTCATGGGAGACTCATTAATCTTCCTTGTTCATTCCCGAAGTCTCTTTGCATGGTTTCTACTTATGTGGTCATCCTTTTGGCCCTCCGCTAATGTGCCCTGAATCACTGCTTGATTTGGGTGCTAGTTTTGAGTATGTGCAGAGTCCTGGAGACTGTGCTCTGTGCTTTCAAGATATTGCTACCTCTTTGGTACTGTGAGCGTTTCCAAGAGGTCATTAGACTGTTCTGTGAAGCCTGCTGTTTCATGAAGTCCACGCAAGACTCAGGAATTACATTACAAGTGCCTGTTCCTGGACTAGGTGGTGCAGTGGCTGGAGCCAGGCTGACTTTGGTGAATGGAAGTCTGTGTTGCTGAGTCTAAGCATAACCTCCATCCCTACCACTATGGCCACTTTGCTCATGAGCAATTTGTGGTAAATGGGTGGCTTGGAAAGAAACTGACCAGTATTCATAGAATGGATCATATGCTTCCCTGCCTTATTATTACATCTCCTTGTGAGGTCGCACTTTGATAAGAATATACTTGAAATGCACATGTCTTCATGTCCTTTGCACGTGCAGTGAAGTCAGGTTACATACAGTTTCCCAAATTGCCTTGTTACTAATTTTCAATCATGTTCTTTTCAACTTTGTGACCATCAGCCAAACTATTGGCTACAGTCCAGGAATCACTCTAACAATTACATTTAGGTCCATTTTTCTTATAAATGATGACCTACGTGTACTGCCCTAAGTTCTTTTCACTAGAAGGACTTCCTGCATGCCAGGCAGAACCGTGTATAAACCAGGCCCCCAGTCTACTCTTCCAGTCTTCTAATCAAAGGAAACTCTCACGAGGGCACATGTGCAGGCAGGGTAGGGGGGAAAGGAAGTACAGTAGGATGGCAGGCATGGGCATTTGATCCACTTATTTGTGCCATCAGGACCTCCTTAAGCCCAGTTGTGTGTATACCATGTTCATTTGATGAAGGGGTGCTGCTGTTCACAGCCACCTCTGTAGCTTGTTGGGACATGTAACACTCAGCTTATGACAGACAGCTCAGGTTTCATGGTAACTTAGTGATCTGTGTTCAAACATTCCATTGGTACTAAGTCCCATTGTTAGAGGTGGTTAGAGTCTGAGCCAAGTGTTTCCAGGTTCTTGATCTCTTATCCAAAGAACTGAAAATAAGATCTCACGCCAATTTGCAAAATAAGCCAAAAAACTTCCTATTGGAGTAAAGTGATAGTTGTAGGTTATAGCGGGTTGCACTATCAAGACTGACAGTGGGCTGCATGAGGGAGAGTACTCATGCCCTCTAATTAGTGTTTGGGGCTTAGTTTAGTGAGTTCAAGATAAAGAGGAAGTTGTTCATAAAGAGGAGTAGTTTGAGTGGTTCTGTTTTGATTAATAGATTAGGTCATACATTCACTTTTCCATGACCCACTCCATAATCCATCTGATTTTAATCATATGCACACCTGATTATGCATAGGCATAAGACAGCAACTAGGAGATTCTCCCTAAAAGGTTACTAGAAGACACAAGTTTGAAGTACTGTGCATGCATCCAAAACCAGTTTAGGCTAGATCGGTCCTTCTGTTCTTCATCGGGAATGTACTTGAATAGAAACTGTCTAAATTTGACTGTTATCAGGTACAAGAAATGTATATTATTGTTCAGGGATCTGAGTGCATATAGCCTGATACTGACGGGGGATCGAGGGGATTCAGGTTACATTGTTTAGACCGGTGTGTGTGTGCCTAATACATGTAGGCGAAGGAACCAGGGCTGCCAAGTACATTATTACAAGGCTGGGGTGCGTATTCCAAAACCACTGGGGGTCCCAGGACTCTAAGCTGTCGTCTGTGCTTGCTTGCCTTACCAGTCGCAGATAAAGAGCTGCTCTCAGGAGAAGAATCATTATCTGTGGAGGATAGCAAGATCTTGCTCCAAAGTCTTGCTTCAGAGCCTGTGGGTAGATCACAGACGGGGTCTGCCAGTGCCTCTGGAAGGATTCCCAACTATACTGAGCTAGGCTGTGGTAGGAGCCAAGGAGCCACCTCTTGGAATCAGGGACTTGCAGCTGTGCTTGCCCAGTGACAGAGATCAGATCAAGAGGGAAACAGAGAGTCAAGATCAGTAGAGTTCTTAGGCTTCACCCTGCATGGTCACTACATCATCTCTTCTGTCTGATTATTAGCGAAGACCAAGGTTCTGGTTCAGCACTACTGGATCTGAGCTGTGGAGCCCAGATCTGCTGCCCGCCAGCTGCATGTGCTGCCCAATCCAATCTATCCTGGCCCCAGAATCTGTGATTTTGGACTTGCTGTGTTGAGGCAGCTTCCCCTCAGTTGTTGAACAGGGAATGCAACACTCCTAACTTCATTGGGAGGACCGCAAGAATACCTATATGGAGTCCCACGATGTCCTGTGTGGTCCAGTTCTGTCTGCACATGTTGCTTTCTGTAAGGGGCTCTGGATGCATATTGTAGGCTACACTCTTATTTTTAGGCATGTGAGTATAAAAAGAACTTCCCACTTTCATCCTTAAAGCATTTGTTAAATATTTCAAACTATAAAGAGAGTCAAAATAAAATCTCTGCTTAAGAATTGTATTAAACCTGTACATAATGATTGAGCTACCTAAAGGACACGAAAGAAGACCAAAATGAGTGGAATTCTGGAGGTGGGAAAATGCAAAAAAAAAAAAAAATGTCGTTATTCTCTTCAGTTAATTTCAGTGCCTGTCAAGTTTCAGTGCCTAAGAGAGGGAGATGGCTGCCACTCCTTGTAATTTAAAACTTCAGGGTTTTTTTTTCCTAGTTCATCACCTGGGAAATAAATAGATGAAAATAGGCAAGGCATTTGCAGAGAAGAGAGCGCCAGTGAGGCTCTGGGAGCAGGCGAGTGGCTCTCCACATCCCGCCTCATCTGGGTTGTTTTCCATGCACATGAATCTACTTTACAATCACAGGATATTTTTAAAACTGCTTCCCTCCCTCCCTCC